TATTACTTGTGTGGTGTAGAGGATAATTATTTATGTAGAGATATTGCTTAGGACTTAAAAGTTGTAAGATGATGTCATGGGGTAGGACTAGATAAGTCTGACTTCTTCCTACTCCATTCAAGCATGTACTAGGTATAAGCAAATTGATATTGGATTATTATTGTTGGATATGTGTGAAATTACATGTGTTGACATATCAACTGTTTTACATGCTTGAATGAATAAATCAAATTAAAAAAAAATCAAACCTGAAGGACAAAGGACATTCTTTTGAGGACAGTGAAGTCCAGATCCTCTCCAGAGAACATCGCTGGTTTGAGAGAGGAGTTAAGTAAGCTATTTTTGTAAAAATAGAACACCCCTCACTAAATAGGGGTGGTGGACTAAGATACAACTTGTCTTCCATCTACAATCCTGTTTTGAGATCTCTGCTCAAACATGCCCACCAGGACAACAGGCGTCGGTTGACAGGGGAGGATTCAAAGACAAGTAACAACTCTCACCGATACTGGGCTATAACGACTCAGTAGTTAGGGGACATTGTTGGCCTTCAAAGGACTGAAACACCACCGATGGGAATTAATATCTCTGGCTCAACACCAGTCAGTCAGAATTGATGAAGCCTCTTAGATGAGAGGTGAAACGTCTTCGACCTAGAAATCTAGTCCAGTTGAAGTTTTTTTTAGCTTACTATGACCTGGATTTCTGAGAATTTGCACAGAAAAACTGTAGCTGAAGGGTTAATCCCACAGTATGTCCATTAGAGCACTCCTCTTCCTGGAATGAAGCCCAGCCTGATAACCCTCATTCTTCTCTCAGACACAGCAGCTCCACTCTGTCCTGATGTTTCCTGGTTCCCTCCCCTTCAGATCTACAGGTTGAAGATGGGTGTAACCAACATGTCACGTGCGAGAGCTGACAGGCCTCATTCACTGCACAAACACCTGTTGTGTAGATCAGCGCTCAAACTGGTTTCACTTGTCAGACAGTGAAACTCAGACAGTTGTTGACACTGAGAGGTGAAATGGCGCAGAAAGGAGTTCAGCTGGATGAGGAAGCTGTTTCTTGTACCATCTGTCTGGATCTACTGAAGGATCCAGTGACTATTCCCTGTGGACACAGCTACTGCATGGATTGTATTAAAAGACACTGGGATGAGGAAGACCAGAGACATGTCCCCAGCTGCCCACAGTGCAGAAAGATGTTCACACTGAGGCCTGAACTGGTGACAAACACCATGTTAGCAGTTTTAGTGGAGGAACTGAAGAAAACTGGACTCCAAGCTGCTGCTGCTGATCACTGCTATGCTGGAGCTGAAGATGTGGCCTGTGATGTCTGCACTGGGAGGAAACTGAAAGCCCTCAAGTCCTGTCTGGTGTGTCTGGCCTCTTACTGTGGGAAACACCTGCAGCCTCACTATGAATCAGCTCCATTACAAAAACACAAACTGGTGGAGCCCTCCAAGAAGCTCCAGGACAACATCTGCTCTCGTCACAGTAAAGTGAGGGAGGTGTTCTGCCGCACTGATCAGCAGTGTATCTGTTATCTCTGCTCTGTGGATGAACATAAAGGCCACAACACAGTCTCAGCTGCAGCAGAAAGGACTGAGAGGCAGAGAGAGCTC